CTATTGAGTTTTGAGTCCCTCTCCCTAAGAAGTATTTGGGGCTCAAAGTCCAGACCCTCTAATGTTTTTGTCTTTCCTATGACCAGCTTCCAAATGCTATGCAGGGAACCCAATCTCTGGTCATTTTGTTAGCATGCTACAGTCACTCCTGTCACTCTGAGATCTCAAAGTTTTTATTATTTTTTTTTAACCAAAGAAGGTATAGAAGACTATATATCTTATATTGTGATCTGTGTTGGTAGGTCATCACTTTATATAGTCTTAGGGAGGAAGATCTGGGAAGGCCAGAATGAGTGAATATATAATATGATATAGCATATATGAGATAGTATATATTACATAGACATTAGATTTCACAAATAAATATGTATACACATACACACATATATTTCACAAGGTCATAAAAGTGATAAATAGAATGGTTAAATCAAATTAGAGGATTTTCTTTAATTATTACATAGCCTTACAACTCTAGTTCAGAATGTGAATATGAAGATTTAAAATAATTCTATTATACTGTGTTGTTTTAGTTATTGAAGATAATTTCATTTCCTGCCTAAAAGGCGGTTTTGATTTTTCTTTGAAGGTATGGGACTTCAATGGCTATTGTCACCACACTCTAAATGTTGGGAAAGATGGAGCTGTGGATATTTCACAGATCCTGGTTCTTAAGAAGACAATACTGATAACAGGCTGGGAAAGGTATGGTATGCTTCGTGCAGCTCTGTAGGAAGGTAGAATGGGAATGTTTATATTTTAATCAAAATCTAAAAGGAGAACAACATAGAAATCTTGACTAATTTTAAGTCATTGATGTGATGGTGACCCAGGTGACTGAAATTCATTGGAACTGACTGAGCATTTGGTAAATAAAATATAGTAAGTTCACATAGGTTGAGTAGTAATGGTAAGTGTTACAGGGCTTTCTTCTGGCTTCAGGATTTTGACTTTTTCTTTAAAAATTCCAGATATGAATGTAATAGTGCTTCATGAGCTCCAAAAGTTTTCCAAATTTTAAAGTTAATAAATTCTTTTTTTTCCATAGTTTTTATTGTTGTATTATAATTACATATAATGGGGCTAGGGTGGTAGCTCAGTGGTAGAGCACTCGCCTATCATGTGTGAGGCACTGGATTCAATCCTCAGCACTATATAAAAAAGTAATAAATAAAATAAAGGTATTGTGTCCACCTACAACTAAAAAAATTTAAAAAAATTATACATAATGGTGAGATTTGTTGTCACATAGTCATACATTGCTAAAGTCAATAAATAATGTATGTGTTACATTATTCTAACTGTAAAGGGCACTCCTTCTTCCCTCTCTAGTTACCTATGTTGAGTTGCAGGGCAGGACAGACTTAGCCCAGAGACTTCTGTGTTGGCCTGGTTCATATCACTGCAGAACAGGGCCTTGCATGGCCCACTTACTCTTCTTGTGGAATATTTCTTCCATTTCATTACAAGGAAAATTACTTTTATTTCCTTTTTTTTTCCTGAGAGAACAAAAGGATCATAAACAGGCCTTTTTCTATGCCATTGTATAAGCACTAGGAAAATTAAAGTGTGATATGTTTTGAAAAGATATTGTCCATAAATTCAATAGTTCACAAAATATTGCTCTAACAGGCAATTTGCCCAATGTTATTCATTGTAGAATTATGTTGTTAATGGTCTGAATCTAGGAGTAAGTCAGATTTTATACCTAGAAAACCAGCAGTGTATATTTTTTTCTAGGGCAAATGAGCAAACACTTGAGTAGCAAACATAGTCTCACACATGGCTTCATTTTCAGGGTATTTGGATAATAAGAAAAGAAAGTATAGTACAGATTATTCTACTTGATATTAAGAACTAGTTTAATAATCCTTACCTTTGAAGGACAGGCTTCTACACATCCCTGGGAGCAACCATGATCCATTATCAACCACTCCAAGAGTCTGTGGCCTAAAGACCTCTGTAATTAAGCCGAGGCAATGAATAAGTTTAATTCTCTAACACCACAGCAGGATATTTGGTGGTATCAAGCTGACCCAATTTAAATTTTGAACATAACAAAAGGACATTTAAAACTCTAATTCAGTGTAAATCAAAACTAAGAGATGCTATTTAATTTTTTTTGTTCTTTTAAAGTGTTTTTATTTTATTTAATTTTTATACCATGAAATTTCCTTGTTACAATGAATTTTTTCTGATACATTGAGAGACCATTTTCTTTATTTTTGTTGCTAGCCATAGTTAGAAATTAGCATCAAATAGCTTTAAAAAATTCCTTACAAGGGAAGATTTAAAAGATTATGTGAGGTTATTGAGGGTGGTTTAAAGAAAAATCTGGTATTCTGATCCATGTTAATGGGTCATCACTATGGTCTTAGGGAAAAGATTTGGGAAGAAGGGGGAGGAGAGTAAAAAAGACTTGTCCCTCCTCCATGGTCTTCCAACTTTCCATCCTCCTTAAGGTTGTCAGCTTTTGAAACCCTTTGTTGGAATTAAAAATTGAATCAATACATTATCACTCTTATTATTTCACTTTTATATTGGTAGACTCAAACATTTATATTTCCTGAGTCAGAGGTGTTATGTTAGAATGAATTTTGTATGATCTAAGACAGGATCCTTTTTACCAGGAGGCTCTTAACAAAAGAAGCAAGAAGGCAAACACTGTTTGGTTATAGTTGGGGAAATATGGACTATTAATCCAGCTCCTTAACAGTGATTAGCAAGAAATGACTAGAAGATTGACAGTCAGCTTATTAAGCTTTCTGTAAAGCCCGGGGAGAGCCCGTTAGGTTAAGCTGTAGCTTTAACTTCAGACTCTATCTAAATACAGAGATTGGTTTGATAATTTTGCCCAGGATGGAAAAGAAATTACATTCATTGAGTGAGTAACCTAAAGATACCATTTAATTTATTTTTAGTGCCGTGAAGCAGTAAGCACTTTATACACATTATCTAATTTAATCCTCATCTTTATTTTAGAAGGTAGGTGATATTCTATAGATACCTTGAATATCTGTCTTCAGCTCTTATTTCTCTAAGCTCCCTTTTTTATTTGCTTGCTGGATGTGTCTGACTGTGGCTTCAAATCCAACATGATCTAAAGTGTCTTTTTTGGTCTTAGATTTGGAGCTTCAGTTAATGAAAAGGGATCTGGACTTGTGCCTTATTCTCCCTTTCAACTTAACCTCATAAACAGTAGTCACTAAGTCTTGCCTATTTTTTTAAATATTTTTTTTAGTATTTGTATGCGGTGCTGAGAATCCAACCCAGTGCCTCACACATGCCAAGCAAGTGCACTACCTCTGGGCCACAGCTGCAACCCCAAGTCTTACCTATCTTACATACTAAATGTTTCTTTAACTGCTCCCATGAGTACCACAGCTGTACCACTCAAAGCATCATTCCTACTTGGATGGCTTGTACAGCTTTATAAAATTTATCCTTTCCTCCAGTGACATCCACTTCTCACTCCTTAAGTAGATTCGGTACACTTAGGCAACAATGATTTCTTTTACAATGAATTCTATCTATGCTATTCCCTTGTTTAAAACTTTTCAGAATGTCTACAAAATAAATCTAACCTCTGTCTGGCCTGGACTTATTCTTTATTCTCTAGTTCCATTTTTACACATCCTTGTGTCTATTCTAAACTTCATCAGATAAAAACCTGCAGGTCGGGTTGTTCCCATACAAAGTATCACATTTCACATCCCTCTGCCTTTATCTCTTCTCCTTATCAAGAAATTCCTCTTCCATTTTTTTTTTCATGTGGCTGACATTTATTCCTATTTCAAGGCTTGTTAAGATACCTTCACCACCAGGATATTCCCTTTAACTTCCAAGATAAAAATATATCCTCTATGTGTCTATTTAACTTAGGGAAAAATATTATTAGATGCACAATTTTGTTTTTTATTGGTGAATTATAAATTATACATGATTAAAAAAACCCAAATGATTGAGTAGGTTGGTTTTTTTCAAGCAAAGGTTACCAATTGGTTTTGTGCATATGAAAAAACACAAAAAATGTTATTTATCAGCTTAGCAAGATCTCAGATGTTTCACTTAGTATATTTTTTCCCCAATAGATATTTTAAAAACTTTATCCTGGTGGAAGACACTGAGTTAGGAACTATAGTATACAGAATATGAAAAATCATGATTCCTGATGTCAAGAGCATCACTTTCTGGAGAGTCAACATGTACAAGGCAGGATATGTTAAATGTCATTGTAAAATAGTACTAAGAAAAAATGAATTAGAGCCCATGTTGTTTATTTAGAAATACAGTCATCAGAATTTATATGTCCAAAAAAAATCTCAAAATTCAGAACTTCTAAAAATATATTTTCTATTTTTAAAGCAAAAATACTTAGAGAAAAAGTTGTAAATCAATATAATGTCAATTAAAGATATCTCCTTGAATCCTTGGCCACATTTATGTTGTTAACATTAAATGAAAAGATGATCAATTATCTTTGCATTTGTTTAAAGTAGACATGTAATATGTATACCTATAGTAAAATCAAATAAATATTTTGATTTTTTTTAAAGATTTTAACCTGCTCTAAAATTCAGTGATTTAATACTAACAACTCATTAAAAAATATACTTAGTTTTCCTTCTTTATTTATCTCCTTTGTGTAAAGGAAAAATCTCCATGTTTTCTCCCAGCCTCTCCAAGTTATAATTGAAAATGACATATATTTATGGCATACAAGGTTGATGTTTTGATATTTGCATAGATCGTTAAATGATTAATTCAAGATAATTACTATACTCTTCATGTTAAATAAATATCATATATTTGTGAGAGAAATCTTTGCTCATAAATATTTTAAACTCCTTAAAAATTTAGATATATGAAAACACTAAAAAGAGAATTTCTCATGTAACTTAAAATTTAAAATCATTCTGAAAATATTATTGGTAATAACATCCTTCTTAGAGTTCTGTAAATAATAAGTACTCAGAAAATAGGTATTAATATAGCTATTTATCAAGCCTCTGTCTTGACAATAATCAGACTGCCTATGCAGTTTTCATACATGATGTCAGGAATTAAAGTAGTTCATTAGAGGCTTAATTTGATTTTTAAAAGTGTTTTCTAAGGTAAATGACATTAAAGATTTGAAGCTACCTAGGAATAAAATTTAACTTATTCATTACAAGATATTAAATTCTTAATAATTTCCTTACTAAGAAACTATAATCCCATGACTCAATTAATTTCTATTATTAGGCTAAGAATCAGAATGGAAAGTTCCAAAGTTGTAACGTATTCTAAATTAGCCATGCTGGAGCTAAGGAGAGAGAAAGGATGTTTGAAATTCACAAATAATCCTTAAATCAAATTTTGTGATTATTCCAGTGTCCAAAATTTGATTCCACACATTTTAGGAAGAAGAAAATAGGAAAGGAATCCAGATGAATTGATTCATGAGGAATTTATTCTCTGTCCTTTGAAATATTCTTTAAGCCTAAAAAGCTATGTATCAAAAGGTAGCTATTAACAAGACTTATGGTAATTGTACTAATAACACATGAGCAATTAACCTCCAAAGAAAGAAATAATTGATTGCATTCTTGTGAACTCTTAATTACTACATGGTTAGGATTCAGTCTAAACATTATTCTCAGGGCTAGGAGTATAGCTTGGTGGTAGAGTGGGTGCTTAGGATGCTCAAGGCTCCGGGTTCAATCCCAAGCACTCCACACACACACACCAAAGAAAAAAAAAAGTTATTTTCTTAACTTTTCATCCTAGAAAAAAGTTTGTTTGTTTGTTGTAATCATTTCTTCTTCTTCTTTGCACTTGACAGGAAAACTAATTTTGTTCTCACAGAATTGTCCATCATGTCAGAATTCTGAATTAGATTATGTGTTCCTCTTCACAAGATGATGAAAGGGCTCTGTAGCAATGCTCTCAGGATTTCAGATGTGAGGTGTGTGAGGGAGCTGGTAAACTCCTCATACCAAAGGGAACAAGACTCTCAGACTCTGAAAATGGCCTAAAAATTGGCTCATTCTGAACTTTAATTTTACTCTTGGCAAAAGTACAAATTAAAAAAAAAATTGTCTTAGAAATGGAAAAAATGAGAACCACAGTGTGGATTCTTAAGGTATTTTCAGGACAACTGTCATTTCAAATCAAAGTTTCAGGTTAGGCTTTAAGGGAGAGGCGTCAGGTAATTAGTTTTCAGCATCTTGACACATAAGGTCAAATACCAGAAGGGCTACTTTTTACACCATCACATGAAATGCGTTTTGTTCCTTTGGGGGTGTTTCCTGAATATATTTAGTATAGATCTTTAATATGACTCTCTTGGTAAAAAGACATTTGACTCTGAATTCTGGCCTAGAGATAAAGGTGTAGGATTGAAATCTTTTGTCTCATTCTCACCCCACACTCTCCATCCTCAAAGGAAACTCTTCTCAGCCAAACTTAACCAGTAGCTATTCTAGGATACCCTATTAAAGTGTAATTTTACTTAAAATCATCTTAGCTATAATATCTGATTAAATCTTAACAATATTATTCAAGTTATATTAATATTAAAATTGTTAATTAATTTTAAAAAAAGAAAATATTTTTTTTATATTGATACAGGCTGAGAGACCCAAGGGAGAGTCTTGAGATAGGGTAGTCAGGAAAGTGTTACCTGAGGATGTGACATTTAAGCAGATAATTTTTCCTTTCTCCTTTGTTAGATATTTATTGAACACTCCACATATGTGAATCACTATCTTGGCTAATGTGGTTTACAGAATAAAACAAAATCTCAATTTCTAAGAACTTACAATTTATCATCTAGTTGAAATAATGTAAGAGTAAATATTGTAAGTGAAATGTGAATGACGTAAGAGGTCAGAAGAAAGAACTTTTTCTTTAAATCTTAGTTATTACAGAGGAATACTAGAGTAAGATAGGACTTAGAGAATAGTGTGTGGATGGCTAGATGTGGGATCTAAGTGGATGAAAATGCACAGGGGGATAGAAGAGTATACCATGAGTAAAAACACAGTACCAGAAACAAAGGGTACTTAGAGAACAATAATATGGTTTGGGGGGCTGGGGTTGTAGCCCAGTGGTAGAGCATTTGCCTTGCAAGTGTGAGGCACTGGGTTTGATCCTCAGCACCACATAAAAATAAATGAATAAAATAAAGATATTGTGTCTATCTACAACTAACTAACTAAATAAATAAATTAAAAAATATGGTTTGGGTTGGACAAGAGAGTGTACTGCAGAAACTTAGCCCCTAAATACCCCCAACAGTTCAAAACATCTCTTGAAAGAAAGAAATTGATTTGAATTTGACTTCTGTCTTAAAACTGTAGACAAACTTTGGATTTTATTGCATTATTTAATCTATCTTTTTTAAAAGTGGAAACAATATTTTCTACAACACTGTATAAGACACAATTATGCCATATTTACCCTATGGCTTCTAGGGTCACTGCCAAGTATTTAGTTGGATATTCACATATAATGTTGAAAAGGAAGAATAGAAGAACAGATAGATAATTCTAAAGAAGTAGAGAGGACCTATATATTATTGGATCTTGAAAAACAGGTCCACGTTTGAATTTTGTCATGTAGGAAATGAAAAACTAGTAAATATTCTTAAACAAGGCAACTAGCCTCATCTTTATCATATTTCCTCTACCTAGACTGCTTTCCTCTTTAAAGTCCTACACATCTTTTATGGCCCATTTTAAATATCAGGCCTTAACTAGGCCCTTTGTGACTTGTACTCAGGAATCTCAAGTCATTTGATTAGTATTTCCTTACTACTTACCTCCTTTCACATTGCATTTCAGTTAAGTTTATGCTCACAGCTTATTATGTTTGGGATATGAGGTGTTCCCTGAAAGGTCATGCATGAGAATGCAGGAATGTTTAAAGGTGAAATAATTATGAGAGCTCTAACCTAATCAGTGGATTAATCCATTTGCTAACGGATTAATCCATTTCAAAGGACTGCTATACTGGGTGGTAACTGTAGGCAGGTAGGATGTGGCTGGGGACAGTAGGTCCCTGGATTGATGCTTTTGAAGTTTATATGTTGTCTCTGGTGCCTTAATTTCTCTCTCTGTTCCCTGGCTGCTCTGAGCTGAGCAAGGGCATTTCCTCTGCCATGCCCTTCTGCTATGATGTTCTGTCTTGCCTCAGGCCCAGGGCTATTGAAGTCCGCTGTCCATGGCCTGAACCTCTGAAACTGTGAGCAAAATAAACTCTGCTTCCTCTAAGTTGTTCTTGTCAGATATTTTGGTCACAGAGACGAAAAGCAGACTAACACATAGCTCTCAATCCGTAAGACCATTAACTGGAAATTTAACACAGGAGCAAGACGTGTTTATAGAATGAATGGACCTTGAGAGCCCCAGAACTAAATGAGGAATCTAGTAGCAGGATGAAGAATATACTAGAGGAGGGTGTACTGGAAGCAGTGAAACCGGTAGGAGGCTGTTGTAATTGTTCAACCATGAAGTACTGTGCACTGGCCTAGAAAGCTGTCTCTGACAGTTTAAAAATTTTAAAAACGGAAGGAATAGCTATGTAACATATGTCAGAGGCAAAATGTAAGTATTTGATTTGACTGGGGAGAGAACTACACACAGGAGGCTATAATGCTGGTTTATTTGGGAATCAGGATGGAGGGCTGATGGGGAAGGAAGATGGCAAAGTTTGTTTTTTGATGTTTTTGTAATATTGTTTGCTGATGGAAGCATTGTATGGAACTGTGAACTGGCAAATGGATACTATTCAACACCTAGCAGAAGTTTTGAATGGAAATCAGCTTAAGAGCATTCGTACAGAAGTGAGACTAGAACCATGGTTGTACAGAGGATCTCTGATTAAGCCAGTTTGAACAGATAGGGAGGAGTGGAAGAAAGGCACTGAGGAATATCCATATTAAAGGGGCTAGATAAAGAAGGGACAGGGTAGCAGAGACTAAGGAATGGAAGATAAAGAGACAGGAAGAGAAGCAAGAAGTACTGAAAACAGGAGTTTCAAGGAGAGGGAGAAAGTTATCGCCATCCAAAGCCGAGAAGGTAACTGTAAGAGCAATTAGGAGACCTCACAGTGGTGGGAAGAAAAGCACAATTAAAAAAGGTGAAGAGAGAATGATAGTGAAGACACCAATTTTAGGGTTTCCAATGTTCATTTGAGAAACGTGTGGCTCTAGAAGGAAGAAGAGGCTTAGCATGAGCTGGCAAACAGAGCTCAGACCCAGTAGAAACTGATGGCCCTACAATTTAATATCAACAATCTTTTCTTCCCAACTAGGAACCAGGCATTTCATTCTCTACCCATTCTAGTCTGTTCTGAAATTTATTAGCAGTGCTCCAAGATGCTTACTATTCTTTCTATTCAAAGTGTGTCTGTCCTATATACCATTTCTTTAGAATGGTATTTTCCAAATGAGTTCCACTTTAAGATGGAGTATACTCCAAGAGAATAGATATGAAACCGCCTAAGTATGGGAAATACCATAGAAAATGTGAATATGTTAAATGTCCTGAGATGCTTTGAGGAAAGAAACTTTATTGATTTTGCTTAAACTACCTAAGAGTATTCATAGATCTATCCTACCTTTTATTATTATTACTATAAAACTTTCACTAGTTTCATTATACTTGTATGGGGAAACTGTGTTTTAGGGTTTTGGAAATGAATAATTAATCCAATAAATGGATATGTTTGGTGTTAATAGTTATAAAAGAATAATTAATTCCCAGATGTTAAATATCCATAATTTACCAGAGAATTCAGTGAGAGAATCCAGAAGAAAGTCATTTGTTAGTCATTTTAATTTTGTTGTTGCTGTGACAAATACCAGAGAAAAACAGTTCAAAGTAGGATAGATTTATTTATTTATTAATTTTTTTTTTTTAGTTGTAGGTGGACACTCGATCTTTATTTCATTTTTTTTTTAATGTGGTGCTGAGGATCGAACCTAGTGCCTCACATGTGCTAGGAGAGCATGCTACCACTGAGGCACAACCCCAGCCCTAGGATAGATTTATTTTGACTTATGTTTTGAGAAGTTTCAGTCTATGTTGGCTGGTTCCATT